AAGTAAACGATAATCATAAATTAGTAAATCCATAGTAACAAATAAAATAAATTAGGGTGTTAACGTTTGTTGTGATTTCTGTCAATAATTCTAAAATTACTAAGAAATTGAAAAATTTCACAAGTAATTTTTGTCGAATAAGCTTTATTTAACACATACATTTATAGAACATGTTTTTGGTTCTTTTCCCTGTGTTTTTATAATAATTATGTAAAATCCATTCTTAGGAGATTAAGAAAAAAGAAAAAGAAAACGTGCGGTAATTTTCGGTTACATGAAATCATTATTTCAAATTTACAGAATGTTGCATATTTGTTCCTTTTCCTCATTTCCGACATTGAAGTGTATTTTATAGAATTTCAATGTACAGTAAAAAGTTTTATTTTGTTACGCGGCGACAATGAACTAATAACATATTTTAGATAAAATGATAGAAATGTTACAATCTTATAACCATTAAACCAAAATAATATATAAAAAAAAAAAATACCCACGCCTTCTTCACTCTATGTAATTGGTTTTAAAATAGTTACTGAAATGATTTGTTGATATTGTTGATAATATGTTTCTATACAACAAAGTTACGTCTTTTTTCTGTTTTCTTTACTTATATTGAAAACAGCGATAAAGGTGAATGGATAGAGCGCATAAGACACAATTAATTAGCTAAATATTTTTATTGAAAACAAATTAGTGTTATCGCTTATGTAATCAGTACAAGTAATGTGTCAATACCAATGAGGACTGACTGTTTTTCCATATTGAAATAATCACACAGTAGTCATTTAGAGCAGATTATACATACCCGTATCAATTGACTGTCACCTTTTAATGACATTTTTTTAACATTTGTCATACTACATTCAGGAATAAATGGGTCGATGCAATTATTGTCAAAGAAATAAGCTTACTCGAAAGGATTATCTCTTTTAACTTTTGATGACTTTTCAATCGTAGTGCAATTGACTAATGTGATGATTTATTCTGTAGGAAATACAAAAATATTAAAAAAACGCTTTAAAAAGCAAATAACGGGATTTCAATCTGAATAGCATGTTTGTTGATAAAGGTACAATTATGATAAATTAGTATTATAACATGTATAAAGGGTGTATCTTGAAATTCACTGCTACGTCAGAGGTTTTAAACTGGGAATCTTAAAGATCAAACAGGACAGATTTCAAATACGGAGAAACTAAAAAAAAAATTTCCATGTTTATAGCTGTACGTGTCATTATTTAAGCTACTTTACGAAAATATGTTTCATATAATCAGTACAAGTAATGTGTCAATATCAATGAGGACTGCTTCATAACTTGATCTTTTTTTCAATATTGACACAGATGGTGGTCTGCTAAGTACCGAACGTGACCTATTCCCAAATATGACTGTTTTCCCGAGTGTGAATTCGCATTGCTATTAGACGTGTCTCGGTATTTATACATCCAACATTCATCTATTTAGTTATGATGTTTCGTTTGTAATTCTTGTTGGATATTGTGTTATGTCTTATCGTTTGTGGTTTGAACTCTATTTTTATTTTCTACATTTATGTAAATGTTAAGATAATTAATCAGCTAGTTCATGTATATGATTTTTAGTTTAAAGCTACTATATGCACAGAATTAATTTGTTTTTACAGTTTTGATTTAGAAAAAACCGACATGGTTAGAAAGTACAAATAATTACACCATTACTAACACAATTCTATATTAATATTCTTGTAATGGTTAGAAAGTACATAAAATAACACCATTACAAACTTAATCCCAATTTTATATTCTACTTTTAGAAATGTACCTGTGACGTCACTTTTTGTGGCGTTGATACATTCGTTTGACGCACAGTTCATAATTCTATTGTGTTGTAAATGAGAGGTGTCCGTTGTTATTCTGTGGTTTACATGTTGTAATGTACTATTATATTATTTATTTATGTATGTCTCTGTCCTGAGTGTTCTAGCGTTTAGTTGTAATGTTTTCCTGTCACGTAATGTTGTCGTTGTAGCGGTTTTTTTAACATTGCCATATAAGCGGGAGGTTTGGCTAGACATAAAACCAGGTTCAATCTACATTTTTTTCTTAAAATGTCCTGTACCAAGTCAGGAATATGGCAGTTGTTATCAAATAGTCAGTTTCTATGTATGTTGGCGTTTGTTTTTGTAGCAGTTCAATGTTTATGTTGTTCCGTTGTTTTTCTCTTATAGTTGATGTGTTTCCCTCGGTTTTGGTTTGTGACCCGGTTTTGTTTCAGTTAAATCGATTTAACACTATTGAACAGCGGTATACTACTGTTGCCTTTGTTCATCATTGTACTACTTTATTTCAGATTATAAATAAGCTTTATTCAAGAGCACGAATATACTGTATATTTAATAGGATTATTTGTTACTTCCTCCTTCCATGTCTTAAGCTATATTCAAAGTTAAAAAATCAGTTCATTTAAACCTGATGTGTATCCCATTTATTGGATACGTGTACTGCTAATCCCGTAATATATATTCATCTGGAAAATTAACAATACATTCATGCTGATATGATTTCACACACAGTGAAACGAGTACGTCTTTTTTCCAAGGTTAAATAAAATCAACATTCAGTCGTTCAACTAAATACTTTTATAATCAACCAACATGATGAATGTTTAAGCTGTATGGTGCTATTCATCTTTGACGATGACTTACACATAACTATAATAAAAAAAAATATATGAATACTCTTGACAATCATAATACATTTGATTGTGTATAAACTCTAGTGTTTGCATTAATCAATTTTTCAAAGTGATGATGAGAAACATCATCTGATGATTTGACTCCTGTGCAAAAAAAAACACATGTGTTAGAATAACATTCATCGAGTTTCATTGTAATCAAGTCTTTATGTAAATAAATAAATTCTGCATAATAGTTCAAACAACTCTTAGTCGTAAATTTACATTTACGAAAGGGACTTTAGTCAGAATGTCCTTACACTTTAGGTTGGTAAAACTAAATTACTAAAAACAATGATTTGCATGAATTTAACACACACAAAAAACAGAAATGTAAGAAGACTAAGATCTACATTTTCACAGCGAAAAAATCAGAATAATTGTACAATTTTGGTAATGCTTATTACAAAATATTGCCTTATTTGGCAAATAATGTTTTCCCGACCAACAGTTTGCAGCTGTGGCACAGATAAAAAATAATCAAATTTAACTCCAAGGAAAATTCAAACCGGAAATTTCCTTATCAAATGGCAAAATCAAAAGCAAAAACATATCAAATGAATGGATAACAACTGTCATAATCTTGATTTAGTACAGGCATTCCCTCATGTAAAAGATAGTGGATTAAACCTCTCCTTTGTTTGACGGTCGCATAGAATTGATTGGTCCACATCATATAATTTGTTTTTTGAGGACACTTTAAGGTATTTAAGGCGTTGATGGTCATTGATGTCTATAGAACGTTTCAACAATATATGTAAATCTATCATGTCTCTTAAATGTATCTGTAATGCTACACTTGTGTATATGTCGAGTAATACAATATATTTGTTTAGGAATTATTTTTTTTATATTTCATTATAATTAAACACGAGTTTTCATCTCGGAATAAAGCAACCAGAATCGCATGATACAATACACGACGTTACCCTCTCTAAGATTACTGCCATGTTTCTCAAGATTTGGTGGAAATATATCTAAGTAACAATGCTGGTGAAATATTTTTATATGAAATATAACAAATTAATGATAATGACCGGAATTAGACCCTCCAGGAACATCCGAATGTAGTTTGCACAAGTGTTTTATATTTCATCAATGTCTGTCAAGCCGCTTACAAGAAACAGGGAAGACGGACAGACAGATGGAAACAAACATATGCCTATCAAAATAAATTAAATTATCATAAGTATTAAAATGATATCTTTAATTAAATACAAAGCAAAATTCGTTTACCAATGTCCAAAATTCATAAATCGGGAATTAGTTCCTTTGAGTCTACAATTTCTCGGCTTCGATCTTGGATCTTGAAATGATGAAAATGATACGTTTTTTTTCTTCTGTACATTCGATGTTCATGAAATAATGAAATAACATAAACGATGCCAATTTTTATGCACCAGATGCGCATTTCTCCAATTAATGTCTCTTCAGTGATGTGCCAGGTCAAACTATTTGAATATCCAAAACATAATACAAAGTATATGAAACTGTTCTTTAACAAACGTGGAACTCTATCTCGCAAAGTTGGTTTTTAACAACTATAGTTGATCCGTTTTGGCTCTCAACGATTTATTTTTCAAAGGCTTACAATTTGTTCGTAAAAGAGAGACAAAATATACCAAAGGGATATTCAAACTCAAGTCGAAAATAACCTGAAGTTCAGTGCCTGTACTTCAGTGCCTGTAGTGCAGTGAGTGTCGTTGGTTCATATCTGTCATATTTTTTTTTCGTAAATTGTTTTGTTATAAATCATGCCGTTAGTTTTCTCAATTGAAATGTTTCATATTTTTCATGTCGGGATTTTTATAGCCGACTATACGGTATGGGTTTTTTCTCATTTTGAAGGCCGTACGGTTGCCTTTAATTGCTTACATCCATTTAATTGAATATTGGTGGATAGTTATCTAATTGGCAATCATACCACATCTCCTTATTTTTAAATTAACAATACCATCTGGCAGAAAAAGGAAAAAGACCGTAAAACGAATAAAATTACACAAAACACAGCATACAAATCTAAAGACAGAGCAACACAAACCCCACCAAAACCATGGTTGATCTCAGGTGCTCCAGAAGGGGAAGCTGATCCTGCTCCAATTATGGCACCGGCCTGTTGCTCATGTAATTACAAACCAGTTGAATAGTCTTATTCGACATTCACATTCAGGCCAGCGAGCCCGATAAAGACTCTAGAAGAAAAACAAGTACTGGTTCCATAAAAAATCGTATCATATGTTTTATCAACTTAATTTGAGTATAAAAATCTCTTTGATTAGCATGTACAAATGTATGTATTACAGAATCATGTTGGTGTTTCCTTAAATAAGGTATATACTTAAACAATTGCATATATCTCTTAGATAATAATCATTTGTGGGTCCAGCGACTATCCGGATTGCACAAATGTTATAGTATTACATCTTTGAATAAATTAGTTTATGTAGTGTTTTCTGGACTTGTTTGTCTTTTCGTAGTTTTCCGTGTCTGGCCATGGCGTTGTCAGTTCCCCTCGTAACACGAGTTTTGAATGTCACCTTGATACCTTCTGCCACGTCTTTTAATCAGGTCACGTCACGATACAGACTTCTGCGGTGATGTGGTGTAATACAAACATCAATCAATAAAGTTATGACTTGTAGATTAAAAGTCAACAATGACGTTACATGTTAGGTTTCTAAATATTTTTGTAAAAAAAATCTTTTTAAGTTATGAAAATTCAAGAAAAGTACAATAAATTTTTTTTTAAATTTCTTCACCAAATGAAATAAGTATCATTTTCCCGATTTAAATAAACTAAATTGTATCTACATTTGCATCTGTATTCGGCAAAATGTGTATTTCCGGTGTAATATATTTAAAACATGAAAAAATATTGATATTAATACCACTTAAAGAGAATTTTCAAATGTTAACACTTCAAGTTCTAATTGAATTACAAGTAGAAATTTTGTAACAATATTAATCAACAGCAAACAGAAGTATGTATGACGTATATTTACATTCGAAATCGAGATATTGTTCTTAAAATAAACTTCTGAATATGTCTCAGGGTATACATCATGCATTATACATGTCCAACGTCTTAGGGAGGGCTAACTTTTCGTCATATTCTAAGATCAATGCGATACTTTTTAGCATTGCTCTTTTTAATACCTATGTTTTTACAGTTTTATATTGCTTCATTCGTGTATTTAAATATTTCGGATAGCTAAATGTAAAATTTCAAATTATCAACATCTGTCGAGTAATGCATATAAAGCAACAAATGTTTACCTAGATTAAAACCGTTAGGATTTCATTTATTTCTTATTATTTTTCACTCCAATTTTCGTATAAAACATATGAAGTTTTATCCTATCTAACGCCTTTTTCATCGTGTTCCAGTCCTTGTCTTATTAACGACTGTTGAATAAATTTATTGGTTGCTTATTTTTGCTCTGGAACAAAAACTTTCATTCATCTAAAAGGTTAAAGAATAAGAAAATACTTTCCTGTCAGTTTAAAATCAAGGAAAAATTAGAAAAAAGGAAACTTTGCTGATGACATGGCTATTCCGTTTCATCTATTTCCAAAGTGTTTCATAAAAGATGTATGTTGGAAGTTATGTTGTAATTAACTCTGGCAATGACAGAAAATGGCTTAAAGTGAAATATAATGGTTACAAAATTTCGGAACATTTTCAACCCAGTATACCATCATTCTCTATGTGAAATTGAAAAATCGCCTAATAGAAATAATCCACAATGCTTTTTAATATAAAAATGGTAGCATACGCTTTACATTTACTACTTTGGGATACCATACGGAATATTTTGTTAATAGTGAACAAAAAGGTAAAATAAAACATACTACAAAGAGGAAAAAGTGATCAGTATCCTGGAGTTTCTTATTGACAACATATTTTTTTGAATTTGGAGGTAGACTTTTTCAACAAATTATCGACAATCCTATGGGAACGAACTGTGCGCTTCTTCTTGCCGACCTCTTCTCATTTTCATACGATTCAGAGTTCCATCAAACACAGTCATAAACCAGAAGATCAAAGAAGCCAGATTATTTAATTTCACATTCAGATACATTGATGATGTTCTTTCCTGTTACAATCCAAACTTTTCTGATTGGGTTCCATTAATATATCCTCCAGAACTAGAAATAAAAATACAACAGACAGGGCTTCCTCCGCCTCATTTTTGGACTAATACTTCGAATTTGACATAGGCGGTCATCTCAGTACCAGAATCTATGACAAACGAGACGATTTTAATTTTGAAATTATCAATTTCTTCCACCTTAGTTGTAATATACCATCTTCACCTGCATACGGGATATGCATTTTACAACTCATTCGGTATTCAAGAGCTTGTAGCTGCTACTCAGACTAAAAAAAGTTCATCGGAAGAAACCAAGACCTTGTTGATAAATATTCCGTATCAACTTCACAAATAATACATGATGGTCTTTAAGTATAGATTATTGGTACTGACGTTATTTATCATCTCAATTATATGTTATAGTGTTTTTTTATTTGTCTATGTCAATTATTAACCTTTACTGTTTAGTCCAATTTTGATAATATCCTTTTGACGTGGCTCTGTAATTATGCATCCTGCCAATGTCTTGTTGTGCTTTGGTCATTTTTTGTATTCTTGTCTTTCATTGTGGTTATGTGCTTTGTCTATATGCCATTTTGTTTTTCTTTGTTGACATATTTGTTTGCTTTTACAGTGATTAAGATTATAACTCAATGTTGAATGCTGTTCCCCTATTTTTTGACATTTTTACATATTATGTCTATTTGTTTTGTTCACACATTGTTGTCGATAAAATGGAATTTTAAGTGACTGTCATACGCGTGAGGGGTTTATCTAGCTATACAACCAAGTTTTATTGACCATATTCTACATAAGGAAATGCCTGTACCAAGTCAGGAATATGAGCTTTTGAATTTTGCAATTTGATAAGGGACTTTCAGATTTGAATTTTCCTTGGAGTTTGGTATTTTTGTTATAATTTTACTTTTTATTACCTAGAGAAGACAAAACAAGACTTGTACATAAGTAAACAATTTAATATGTAGATTTAATTCAGATCCACCGAAAATATCTAATTTTTCATTTAGCAATTTGACAACTTCCTTTATGTTTGTCATCGTACTTTAAGAAAGAAGACACGAATTTGTTGGTTCATTAACACCGACTATTTATAAAATACTTTCAAAGGGAATTAAATGAACAACAATTGAATTTCAATTGCACTATTTGTAATAATTATAACAATAATAAAATTTTAAGTAAGATAATGTGTTGATGACCGGACAACTAATAGGTGAGCTATCGTCGAACGATTATATATTTTTAATTAACTTGATCTTTACTTTACTTGCAATATTTTAGGTCTAGATCTCAATATATTAGGGACAACAGTAGTGTAACGATGTAAACATTTCATAAATACATTAAGAAAATGCAAATCAAGGTGAAACACAAAAACATAGGGAATCAAATGAAATCAAACAGGAGCGATACCGCGTCATAAAATGTTGAATACGATTATCTTTCACAGACCAACAAATCAACCAATCAAAATACTTGATTTGGTGTTTCAATCCTAAGTTTTGTACTCCGAGTACTGAATACATTTTTATAACCGGATGCGTTATCAGGCTAAGCGTCTCCTGCTATACATGCATCATCCTAATCCACACTCAGTCAAAATGTTTTGAATATATTAAGCGCGAAAACATCACGTTAATGAGTTCAGACAGAAACAGATTGTATCGGGCAACCATTTTACAAAAGTAACCGAAATCCATAAATGAAACAGTGCTACAATAGAATCACCAATAATATTTAGATACATTTTGGAGTATGATAAATGATTTCTCCTATAGTACAAAAGGAACATGTTCATCCCTATTATGAGTATAATAATATTTACAGGAGTGTGCTCCTTATGCAGAAACTGCTCCAACAAAGTTATGAGGAGGAAAGATTAAAAATGACACTCCGTAAATTTTATGGACACCACCACGAATTGGTTGATCCATACGATGTGGCTTTGTCCAAACTAACTAAGGACATTTTTACCACGTCTTAGATTGTGGTTTGCCATCACGTCATCTGATCTTTTAAGTGCTGAACTTGAGCTATTCTCGATTGTGACTGTTTTGCTGAGTGTGAATTCGCATTGCTATAAGACGTGGCACGGTATTTTGCTAGCCAAAATTCATGTGTTTAGTTTTGATGTTATATTTGTTATTGTCAAATGTCTTATCGTTTGTAGTTGTAATTCTTACTTTTTTCTGTTCTATTCGTGTGAGGGTAAAGATAATTTATCACCCAGTTCATTTATAAGATTTTAGTTTGGGTCAACTAAACTTACACTATGTATTTGGTTTTCAGTTTGATTTAGAAGAAATACCGACATAGCTAGATAATACAATTAATTATCTAATTACTAACACAATTTTATATAAATAAGTATTGTAATTTTCATTGTTATTAAATACATGTAATATCAGTTTTACAAACCTAATCTTGAACTCTTTCCAATTTTTTGGAAATTTTTAGAAATTTACCTGTGTCGTCACTTTGTGCGTTGATCTATTCGGCTGACATATAATGCGATGTTCGGCTGTGCTGTTTTTATTTGCTGATCTAGGTTGTTTTACGTATTCGTTTTTATTCTGTAGTTAGTCACCACTTCCGTGTTAACATGTATATCAATTATATGGTCATTTTTATATTTTATAAATTTACTGTTTACAAAAATATGAATTATTCTAAATACTAAATATTTTCTTTTCCCAGGCAGATAACCTAGCCGTATTTGGCACAACATTTTGGAAATTTAGATAATCAATGCTTTTCATCTTTAGGCCTGGCACATTTGTAAAGTATTAGCTTGTCGTAATGTCCTATTGTACTGTTTATTGGTGTGTTTCTCTGTCCTTTATGTTCTGTCCTTTATGTTCTGCCATTTATTTGTATTGTAGTCCTGTCATGTAAAGTTGTCATTTTTTGTGTTATATTTAACATTTCCATTAAAGCGGGAGGTTTGGCTAGCCACAAAACCAGGTTCAACCCATCATTTTTTCTTAAAAAGTAAAATCACAAAAATACTGAACTCCGAGGAAAATTCAAAAAGGAAAGTCCCTAATCAAAAGGCAAAATCAAACGATCAAAATCATCAAACAAATGGATAACAACTGACATATTCCTGACTTGGTACAGGCATTTTCTTATGTAGAAAATGGTGGATTGAACCTGGTTTTATAGCTAGCTTAACCTCTCACTTGTTTGACAGTCGCATCAAATTCCATTATATTGACAACGATGCGTGAAGAAAACAAACAGACACAAAAGGTAAAAATGTCAAAAATAGGGGTACAGCAGTCAACATTGTGTTATCATCTTAATCACTATAAAAACAAACAAATGTAACGAAGAAGCACAAAAAGGCATACATCAAATTTAACATCCTCATTTTGCTTTTATATTATACGATTTTATTTATCTAATATGTAAAATCCATTCATAAAGGTTTTAAATACTGGCGTGAAATCGCGCGTTTGAAATTCGCACAGGTAGACATAAAATAATTTTGTCGTTCAAAGTATGACGGGATACATAAGCACAGAGTCACGTAAAATGGATATCACAAAAAAACAGACTTAATAATAAAAGTAATATTAATAAATAAAATAATTTTGTGGTTAAAATTGTCCTGTACCAAGTCAGGAAAATGGCTATTGTTATCTTATAGTTCGTTTCTGTGTGTGTTGCATATTAGTGTTTCTGTTGTGTCTTTGTTCTCCTCTTATATTTGATGTGTTTCCCTCAGTTTTAGTTTGTAACCTGGATTTGTTTTTTCTCAATCGATTTATGAATTTCGAACAGCGGTATACTACTGTTGCCTTTATTTACCAGCGTACGCATTCTACTGAAATTTCTTTATATGTATAAATGTTCACAAGACTCTCTTGACGACAGTGATTGCACATGTTAAAAAAGTATCAATAAAAATATCAAACTCTAAGGCAATTAAAAAAGGGAAGTCCATAAAAACTGACAAAATCAAACGTGAGCCTTTATCAACTAAAGGAACAAAAGGAAAACATTCGTTATATTCTTGACTTGGTACAGGTATTTTCCGAAGAAAATGGTGGGTTAAACCTGGTTTTATAGCAAGTTAAAACTCCTACTTGTACGACAGTCATTTATAGTACCATTATATTGACAAAACAGACATCATTGGTGATTGCGACAATATTTGGGATCCAACAGACAAAACTGTGTAAATAAACATTATTGTTATTGTAGTTGATAGTTTATCTGTCAAAGACGCCAATAAAACATGTGCTTGTTGTTGATAGTGCAAACAATGTATTAAAGCATATTGCCGTACTAGTATATAGTATCCCGATAAGGTAAAAATGAAGTTAAATATAAATACAAGGGTAAACAAAATGAAAACAACACTGTAAATTCTCTTGATACTTAACTTGATAGTAAAAATAATAACAAATTATGTATCTGTTATTTATTTAAATATGTTCTGATGGATATTCCGCAAAAAGATGCGTACTTCAAGGTCATTAATTAAATATATTATACAAGTGAAAACTGTTTTTGATTATCTTTTTGTCCTCGTACAACACATCTTTGAAATAAATGGATAAATTATTGCAATAACATGTCACTGATTTTATAAGATGTATATACTAGAATTTCACTTCACAAACTTTCAACCCTTAAGTACCGATTTTGTTAAAATGCTCTTTTCCATTATTATATTCATAAAGTAAACGATGAAATCGACGCATGTAGATATTGTCGGTTGCATCCAAAAATGTAAAAAAATTGTCTCTTCAACTATTAGATGTTTCACAATTAAAAATTAAAATTTAAATACAACAATTGAATCAATCAAATAAGTCTATAATATACGCCTTGTACATAGTGTAAAATAAGTAATAAATGTCGAACTTGACAAAAACCATAAAACAATTGAGAGAAATCACCCAATCTTTCTAATAATAAGTGTCTACCGGAAAAGAAAATTATGTGTGGGAATATCAATTAATACTTCTGTTTATATTTCTAATTATACAATACTAAAATAAAGTTTCCAATTTGTCAGACAGAGGCCAGGTTATCCGCTTTAGTCGACACTTACAAAACCGAATCAGTTGTTAAATTAAATGATTTCCAATTTATAAAAATAGAATACCTCCGTAGAACACGGTATATATATATTGATACAACAATACTGCATCTAAAGAATAACATAAATAACAACAACTATAGACAAGAAGACAAGAAGCCTAAATAATTGCTCCAGAAAATGTACAAGTTGAATTTTGTCGATGTAAGCAATAATAGTTAAATGTTTTGGTTATTCAGCAATTAAGTCTTTATATTACGATCATAGAATATTTTCATTTATATATAGTGGCAATAGATAGTATATTTGAAATCCCGAACTAGTTAATCAAACTGCAATAGAACATTTTTAATAACTTTTCAGGTGATGAACGAATTTCTAAATTAACTCTGCACTAGTCCATATTTTTATTGATTCTAACAAACTTGATAACACAATTATATTTATTTTTCTCATTTTATTTTCAGATTCTTAAAGTTGTCTTTGTATACATTATCTGTTGTACCGTGTCTGTTAATAGCGCACCAACATGTATAGAACCTACAAACTTACAAGCTAAATTCAACAGATTAAACGGCGGTATAGACACCAGGACATTATTATTCACGGAAGGTTGGAAACACGACACACTGGACAGTGATTTTGAACAACTGGTAAAAATAGGCGAAAATAAAACTCAAAGCAGCTGTCCTTCAACTTCTTTAAAAGGATCCAATCTCCCATTAATGGTACGTACATCATGTCCTTGGTTTTTAGAGAGAACGCAATACAGTGCTGAAACATATCCCCATGATAACTATAAAGCTACTACTAAATGTACTAAGTGTATAGATGCTTCTGGAGATCAAAAATGTTCACCAATTCAACAGAAAATCCAGATATTAAAACGAGCAGGTTGTGAAAATGGTTTTTACAAATATGAAATAACAGATACCTATATTCCAGTAGCTTATGTATGCGAACAGCCAAGAGAAGTCGTAAATGATGTACAAATAACCACTGCCCGACCTCCAGTTGATGGACCAGTTGAAATGTAAGGTCCGTGATATCCAACACATTTTTCCAAAGTTATTGGAACAAACATTGTAATGTCCTATGGACATATATGGTTGTATATTTATGATATTAAATTGTTAAATACTCTCATTAACGGTAAGATAAGTGCAATATCCGTCCGCAATGAAACTATTCACTGCCTTTGCATGTTAAAAGACACAAATGCTAGTATGTTATTTTTTCCGGGAAAATATTACTCATAGTATTTAAGTAAAGCTGTTTTATATTAAGTTTGATTGTGTGTGTGTAAGTGTGTATTTATTTTGTTTTGATGTTGATGTAACAAATTTGTATATTTATTCGAATTGGTATTAAAATGAAAACAACACTTTATAAATGTCATGCGTACAAATCTTTTTCTGGATTTTTCTTCATCAGGAACGCAGAAAAATAAAAGCCAAATCTCAGATCAACTTTGTTTATATACAGGGGTTTATGTATTCTATTTTTTAAACGATTCTACAAATGTATCAAATATTTATAACAAATTGTGAAATATTCGTATCAATAGTTAATTAATTAATACATGCTAAGTGTTTTTTATTGTGGAGTTAATTTTAGTCAACGAAACAGGGTTGTATTGGTTTATTGAATAAGTAGTTCAAATGTGATTGTCGTGTAAAGAATATTATACATGTTATATAAATTTACTCAATATCTCTCATATTTGTCTCATGTAGTATACATATTTATATGGGTTTTAACTTAACTCTATTTTTGAGCTTCGTATTTTTTTCAATGTCGCATTTGATGGTTATTACCTTTTTTGATAAATTCTTTAAAATATTATATCTGTCTTAAATACGTCTGCAAAGTCATATTACTAAAACATAATATAGCATGATTACAAAACAGATAACAAAGAATTATTGTTTAGCCAAACATTAGGATAAACCTCAGTTGAAAAGCACCAATAACAGTGTGGAACCTACACATGTATTTATTGCAAAACTTAATTAATTTCAGTATGATAGTCCGTATTAAGTGGTACATGATTAGGTTGCTCACAATTCATACAGACGGTATATGGTCTAGTGTTACGAGTATGCAAACATGGCATATGTAAACATGACATGTGTAAACTATGGAACGCCACAGCTGTTTTATGTGGAACTCTGATATTACGTTATGTTGTTCTATTATTACTTGATAATAGTTTGTCTTTACGTAATATGGTTTTGACATTAAGTAATGATGTTTTGATATAACTCAATATGGTATAGTCATTACATAATGATATTTCGATATTTCATGATATGTTTTCGTATTGACCTGATATAGTTTTGTCATTACTTAATACGGTTTTGTCATTACTCGATGTGGTTTCACTATTATTTGATGTGGTTATGTCATGTATGTCATTAGGTAATGTGGTTTTAACATTACTTGATGTGTATGTGACATAACGTAATGTAGTTGTTTCATTACATGATGTGGTTTTGTTATTTCGTAATAATGATTTGTCAATTCTTTATATGGCTTTAACATTACGTAATAATGTTTCAAAATTTGACGATTTTACACTACATAATGTGTTTGTTTCAGTATTTGATGTGGTCATGTCATTCTTTGATGTGGTTATCCCATTACTACTACGAGGTAAAACCACGTGATCATTTTGGCAAAAATATGTTCTATTTTTAGACCGATTTCCATATGTCGTTTGTGTAATGCGCTTTGGATGAGTACCGCTATTCATTAAGTTAAAGTTCAAGTTGTTGTTCATGGTTATTTGGTATGAAAAAGGGGAACAACAGACAAAATTAAGAAAAAAAGTACTAAAACATTTACAGTAATTCGGACATAAGGGGGATATCCCAAAACCACTTGCCGACTTTTCCTTAGTTCTCAAATGGAAGCAGTATTATAATAAATTCGTAAATGATTCCAAGGAACACTGCTTTATCTTGGTCCTGAAGAATAACTCCTATACAAGTTTTATAACAATTCATGGAGGTTTACAAATTTATCATGTCAAAATAGTTTAATTCGGTAATATTCAATGCCAAAAAAAACCTTACAAAGAAATAAAAAAAAATGTTTTATGATTGCCAATGAGACAACTCTCAACCACATACCAAATGACGCAGAAGTTAACATATATGTGTGACTGTATGGTCTTTAAGAATGAGCAAAATTCATACCACATAGTAAGTTTAAAAAAGTCTCGAAATGAAAAATATAAAAACAGCTCAAACTAGAAACCTAACAACCTAAATGACGAAGACGCCGACGATACTACCGACTTCGGCATATAGGTTTGTTGTATCTCACTGTCGCTACATTATTGTCGCAGGCACAACACAAATCAAAAGACTTGTTCTGTATTTTCAACAAATGAGACACTTTAAATCAACTCGCACTAAAGTTAAAGGGAAAGGGGGGGGGGGGGGGGGGGGGGGGGGGAGGGCGGGGGTAAGCAACAAAGCATCAATTCTATAAAATAAGAATTCCCAAGGTTTTCTTTAGCGTGTATGTTCATTTGAACACTTTTTTTTATTAATTGCAGTTTCTGATATACCAGGCACTAATTGAAAAAAAAACTTTTTAAAATATCTGTTTCACAGGTGACGACGAATAGGTTCCAGTTGTCGTAACCACAATCCCGTCATCTTTTCCTCGAATGTAAACTACCAAAAAAAAAACAAATCACTGGGTTTGTACGTTCACGAATAACACGACGCTGATGGATTTATTTACCCAGTCATACTGATCTATTTAGTTGAGCCAATCAAAACTGTCTTTACACTTTCTTCTTATGCTGTGCTATGATACACTAGGTTAGGATAGGGATTAGCGCTTACATACATGTTAAACTTCGCCGCGTGCACTTTCTTTTAATTCCTGCCCCAAGTCAGGAACCTGTAGTTCAATGGTTGTCGTTGTTTCATGTGTGTCATATTTGTTTTTATACACCCGTCAAAATTTATGGTATACAAATGTCGTCTTTCCGTCTGTCCGTCTGTCTGTCCGGCGTAAACATGTCGCACCGTGACTTGAGATCGACTAAACCAAATTTCATGAAACTTAACATAGTTGTTTCTAATGATGGTCAAACGATCTGTATACTTTTTGGTGAAAATAAGATTAAAACTTTTTGAGTTACGGGACTTAGTAACTAAAACAGGTGTGTGTATTTTTTTCACATGTCGCGCGGTATCTCAAAAACAATTTATGATTATTGCTTAAAACTTTACACACTTCTTAGTTATATTAATCTGAAGATCTGTATACTTTTTGGTGATGATTCAAAATTTTTTTTTTGAGTTATTGAGTATTTTGTAAAAAAAGGGGGAGGGGTTTTTCACATGTCGCGCCGTATCTCAAAAACAATTTATGATTATTACTTAAAATTTTATACGCTTCTTAGTTATATTAATTTAAAGATCTGTATACTTTTTGGTTTTGATTAAAAATTTTATTTTAGAGATATTGATTTTTTTTTTAAAGGGGGGTTTTCACATGTCGCGCCGTATCTCAAAAACGATTTATGATTATTGCTTAAAATTTTACACACTTCTTCGTTATATTAATCATGAGATCTGTATACTTTTTGGTTTAGATTCAAAATTTTATTTTAGAGATATTGAGTTTTTTAAATAAAAGGGGAGGGGGGGGGGGTCGCATGTCGCGCCGTATGTCAGAAACTATTTAGGATTATTGCATAAAAATTCACACACTAGACGACAGGCGTATCATGCGCTCATGGGGCAGCTGTTTATTCGTAGATTGTTTAGCTATAAACACATTTTCAGGTGGTGGTCTTTTGTAGCCGACTATACGGTGTGTTGAAGGCTGTACGGTTGCCTATGATTGCTTTCATCCACTGCATTTAAACTATGGTGGATGATTTTGTCATTGGCAATCACACCACATCTAACTTTATTTCAATTTCTATGTTGTGTTTTGTATGCTGTAAAACTGTTTATCTTTTGTACGCATACCTACCCCTGAACCCTTTTTTCGGAAGCTCGAGCAAAAGCCCTTGATCCACGATAAAAAAAATAGAACTCATATTAGATAACTCGAATTTCAACTCTTAATCTTAATCTAGATGAGACTCAAATAAGGGTTTACCTCGAACACTACGCCAACAGGGGACTCAAATTTAAAGTTGAAGTCCAATTGTAATTCGGAACTCTATCTTTAAATGTGACTCAAACTCGAAGTTAACTTCGAAATTTGGTATGTGGTTGAGAGTTGTCTCATTGGCAATCATACCACATTTCTTTATTTCTATATAAGGTTTTTTTAATGCATTTAATATTACCGAATTAAACTGTTTTGACATGATAAATTTGTAAACCTCCATGAATTGTTATAAAACTTGTATAGGAGTTATTCTTCAAGATCAAGATAAAAGCATCTAAGAAAAACCTGTTTTCCTCCGTTAAGTGTACTGGTTAATGTACAGTCAGTCAACATTTAATTTACGCTTTTACACTGACAGCAGAATTATCCGGCGAGACACAGGGTTAATAAGAATCTTTACTTTATTTATTAATTTACAGCTTCCATTTGAGAACTAAGGAAAAAACGGCAGGACCAAATGGTTTGGGATATGTCCAAAATACTATTAATTTTTTAGTACTTTTTTCTTATTTTTGTCTGTCGTTCTTTTTTTTATACCAAATAACTCTGAACAACAACTTGAACTTTAATTTAAACTTTAACTTAATGGATAGCGGTACTCATCCAAAGCGCATTACACAAACGACATATGGAAATCGGTCTAAAAATAGAATATATTTTTCCAAAATGGTCACGTGGTTTTACCTCGTAGTAGTAATGGGATAACCACATCAAAGAATGACATGACCACATCAAATACTGAAACAAACACATCATCTGGTGTAAAATCGTCAAATTTTGAAACATCATTACGTAATGTTAAAGCAATATAAAGAATTGGCAAATCATCATTACGAAATAACAAAACCACATCATGTATCGAAACAACTACATTACGTCAAGTCACATA